TTGGCTTCAATGACAATTATGCAAACACCAAGAGGCAAATTATGCTAATGAAGCCCCTCCCTGATGTTGGTGAGGCCTTCTCTATGGTCTCACAACAAGAGAGACAATTAAGCATTGAAACAGTCAACCTGGAGGACAGTATGACAGGAGCAAATGCCTTCTTCACAAAGGCAGATAACAGTGGTAGGAGGTCCTTCCCCAATCAGAAACAGAAACCTGTATGCAACTATTGTGGATATACAGGGCATACAATTGAAAAATGCTACAAAAAGCATGGCTACCCCCCAGGTTGGAAACCAAGAAGCAAAGGGATGGGTTCAACTAATCAAGTTCAGAGTCATGTGCAAGAAAATGCAGTGACCAGTCCTTCTTTCACTCAAGAAGATTGTAGGAGATTTTTTGAGTACATTCAGCAAGAAAAGGCTAAGGCCAACACCCCCCTTGACCTTAGTTCTCAGATCAACACTATAGCAGCCAACTTCATCCCCAATGATCAACTTGAAGGTAAATCTGCTAAATCTGAGTCAGAATGGATCATTGATAGTGGTGCCACACATCACATTGTGTGTAGGGCACATTTGCTTCATACATCTAAGAGGGTCCAAGGCATCCATGTAGATTTTCCAAATGGCCAATATGCAGAGGTTTCACACATTGGAACAGTAAACCTGTCTGCTAACCTGGTTTTGAGGAATGTTCTTTGTGTTCCTATATTTCAGTATAACCTCATATCCCTAGGGGAACTAATCAAAGGGTCAGGTTGTAGTATCCTCTTCCAATCTGATCAGTGTGTTATACAGGGTCAACACCATGGGAAGATGATTGGTGTGGCTAAGCTGAAGAAGGGCCTCTATCATCTCACCTTTCCAGTTTCTGCTCAAGACAAGTATGTTGTTTTTCCTACTGTAAATACTTGTAGTTACTGACATGCTAGACTAGGGCATGCCTCTGAAGGAAAGATAAAAGCTCTTCATGCTATAGATAGTAAGATTTGTAATGATGCATCCACAGTTTGTGAATGTTGCCATATGGTCAAACAAAAGAGATTACCCTTTCAATCTAGTACATCCTTTACAAATTGCTGTTTTGATTTAATTCATATTGACATATAGGGTCCCTTTCATGTTCCAACCATCTATGGACACAAGTATTTTTTAACCATAGTGGGTGATCACAGCAGAGCCACTTGGGTTTATCTAATGAGAAGCAAAGCTGAAGCAAGGCAGATTTTTCAGAACTATTATGAGTTGATCAAGACACAATTTGGAAAGGGAATCAAATGTGTCAGATCTGATAATGGAAAGGAATTCCTCATGGAAGATTACTATCAAAAGAAGGGTATAACTCACCAAACTTCTTGTGTCTATACCCCTTAGCAAAACAGCATTGTGGAAAGAAAGCATTGACATATCCTATCTGTGGCAAGAGCTCTAAGATTCCAAGCCAACCTTCCTGAGGAGTTCTGGGGTGATTGTATACTACATGTAGTGTACTTGATAAATAGACTCCCATCAGCAACTCTAAACAAACAAGTACCATATCAGATTCTCTTTGGCAAGACACCACAATATCAACATCTTAGAGTCTTTGGTTGCTTGGCATTTGCCACCATACCTAGCTGTCAAAGGGATAAGTTCTCTCCAAGGGCTAGGAGATGTGTTCTTTTGGGGTTTGCTAATGGGGTAAAAGGGTATAAACTACTTGACTTCAACACCAGGGAAGTATTCTTGTCAAGAGATCTTTCCTTCAATGAGGATGTTTTCCCTTTTTAGAATCAGCAAAATGACTTGGGCCAGCCATCCAACCTGGTCTTACCCTCTGATGGTGTGTCATGTTTAAACTATGATGAAGACACAGCCTGGTCCCCTCCTGAGGTCACAACTGCCCCACAAAACCCAACTGAACCACCAGTTGTTCAAGACACTGACCCTAGCAATACAGGTCAATCAACAGAACCAAGAAGATCATCAAGGACAAGAGTCAGACCTGCTTACCTTGGTGACTATACATGTCAGAATGTTACAAGCAGAACATCTCCACATGATATTTCAAAGTTCATGTCCTATGACAACCTCTCAGAAGCCTATAAGGTCTTTGCAGTGAATGCCCTAAATGCCAAAGAGCCAAAGACTTATAATGAGGCAGTCAAGAAGGAATGTTGGTAAGATGCCATGCAGGCAGAAATCACTGCACTGCAGGACAACAACACTTGGATTATCACTGAGTTACCACCCTCCAAAGTGCCTATAGGGTGCAAGTGGATATTCAAAACTAAACTAAAAGCAGATGGGACCATTGAAAGACACAAAGCCAGGTTAGTGGCAAAAGGGTATACTCAGACACCAGGCTTGGATTACCTTAACACCTTCAGTCCTGTGGCAAAAATAACTTCAATAAGGGTGTTGCTTGCTGTGGCTGCAATCAAAGGTTGGGAGCTTCACCAACTAGATGTGAATAATGCTTTCCTACATGGGGAGTTAAATGAAGAAGTCTACATGACATTACCCCCTGGCTTTACATCTCCAAAACCAGGTCAGGTATGCAAATTACTCAAATCTCTTTATGGATTAAAGCAGGCCAGCAGGCAATGGAACATGAAGCTCACCCAAGAACTTCTGAGCATGGGGTTTAAACAGGCAGTATCTGATTCCTCCCTGTTTACCAAAGGGAAAGGCAATGACTTTGTGGCTCTACTTATTTATGTGGATGATGTGGTTGTTGCCAGCCCAAGCATAGATCAAGTACAAGCAATCAAAAAACATTTGGATACTGTTTTCCATATTAAGGACTTAGGTCCCTTAAAGTTCTTCTTGGGATTAGAAGTGGCCAGAAGCAGCAAAGGAATACGTGTCACTCAAAGAAAATACACTTTAGAATTACTTGAAGAAACTGGGTTTTTGCAGTGCAAACCAGCTAAAACACCTATGGCATCATCAACTAGACTCAGTAAGACCACTGGAAATGCTCTGGAAAACATTACTCAATACAGGAGGCTAGTGGGAAAACTACTATATCTTACACTCACAAGACCAGACATATGCTATGATACTCAACAATTGTCTCAGTTCTTAGACTGCTCCACTGATGAACATCTTCAAGCAGCACATAGAGTGCTAAGATATGTCAAATCAGCTCCTGGACAGGGTTTTTTCTTCTCAGCATCATCTTCTCTGATGATAAAAGGATTCTCTGACTCTGATTGGGCTGCTTGTCCAAATACTAGAAGATCTGTAACTGGTTTTTGCATATTTCTTGACAACACCTTGATATCCTGGAAATCAAAGAAGCAGCACACTATATCCAGGAGCTCATCTGAAGCTGAGTATAGGGCCTTGGCATCAGCAGCCTGTGAAGTTCAGTGGGTGATCTACTTGTTGCAAGACTTAGAAGTGAGCCTTGATTCACCAGCCATGATATACTGTGATAGCAAGTCAGCGATTGCCATAGCTGAAAATCCAGTCTTCCATGAGAGGACAAAGCACATTGAAATAGATTGTCACCTTGTAAGAGAAAAGTTGCAGAAACAAGTCCTGAGGCTGTTACATGTTACCACAACCAATCAATTGGTTGATGTGTTCACTAAGCCTCTTGCTGTCAGTACATTCTGCAGTCTCATATCCAAGTTGGGTTTACATTGCTTGTATACTCCAGCTTGCGGGGCGAGGGGGGGGGGGGGGGGTGTTAACTGATACTAAAACCTCAGCAAAATCAACCGCCAAGCCAACTGATTTCTGAAGCTGTTAGAATAATCTGTTAGGATTAGTTACAGCTTATCTTGATGTATATAAAGCTTTTTCATATGGTTAGATTGATGTAAGTGAGGAATGAGAGAATAACACATATCAGAATCAAGCCTTCTTGATAAAAGAGCTACAGCACAGTAAACTGCTTCTTCAATGGAACAGTAGCTTCCTGATTCTTTTCCTTTTCTCTGTTGCTTCTGCTTGAGTTCTTCATAATTCTCATTATAAATTCTTACATAACTTACATCAATATTGGTAATCATTCCAATCAATTTTTTTAAAACCATATCATTTTGATTCCATGTAATGGTATCCTTGAGATCATTGCCATTTGATAATAAAACTCCGTCCTCTAAGTTTTTTATTAATAATGTGATGAGGCAGTAACACTTTCAATCTTTAATTTGAAGATTCTACCGATTCTCTTCAGACAAATACTTCCTCGATCACTTTAGCATTAATCTCTCTTCCGTGGGAACTTCCATTATATATGGCTCTTTGAAGCATCACCTTCTCATTAGGCCACTTTTTACGTGAAATAAGCATGATATAGTAATATTCAAGGAGGAATGTTGTAAATAAATATAAGTGGACATTACTAGCTAAGAGGTATTATATTAAGATAATAATTCTTCATCCTTTATAGTTATAGTATAATTTTGTACATCATGTATATATATATTTGATTGAAAGATGAATAATAAAAGATTGATGATTTTCTCCATGTATCTTGTTTCTCTTACTTTTTGACAATAGTGATGATATAACATTCATACAAGTATAGGTTAGTTTTACAACAAATAGAAATAATCATGTATGTTTTACATACACATTGATTCTGCATGCCTTTTGTCTTCTTTTTTTTTTTTTTTTTTTTTTTTTTTTTTTTTTTTTTTTTTTTTTAATTAAAGGTCTGAAAATAACAAGTACAAAAAAAAAAAAAAAAAAAAAAAAAAAAAAAAAAAAACACTGTGATAACAGTTTTAAAATAGCTTCAAATCTGCAGAGTATACTAAAATACTGGAAAGCAACACAACAAACAATAGGGAAAAGACATATAATTATACAAATTAAAAAAGTAGTACTGCACTCCATCAAGTAAGGTTCTCATGGCCAATTAGTAGAAGCAATTCAGAAGTGTAAAGTTGTGTGCACGTTCGCTGCCCTTTAATCTGCCTGCAATCACAAGCTAAGGTCTATGAAATGCAACAACGTAACGTTGTATAATATGCAATAGAAAAAGCAGTACGTAATTACCTTTGCAAATTTAATTTAATTTGTTCTTCTTCTGCCATGTCTTCTTGGAACAGTAGTTTTGGAACCCTTTCCTCTCTTCCATATGAGTTTCCTTAACAACCAGTTGAGTTTTCCATATCGCAAAGCAAAATATCCCACACAGACTCCAAATGGAAATGCACAACAATATCCTATCGTCACGCTCTGCCAAGAAAATCCATTAAAAAAACCTGAATCCTCTTCCCCCTCCTCTTTGTTTGAGTGCACAGGTGGGTTTTTAGCTTCACATTCTAGTGTCAATGGAAACCCGCACAATGCTGTGTTTCCCAAATAGGAGTTGTTGTCAAATGTATCAAGGTGTCTGCTGTGAGGTATTGCTCCAGAAAAGTGATTATAGGAGAGGTTTAGAACACCAAGGAATCCAAGGTTTGAGAGTTGCCACGGAATCTTCCCAGTGAGTTGGTTGTTGGAGATGTCTAGAGCCTCGAGCAAAGTTAGATCTCCGATTGATGGAGGTATTTGGCCAGTGAGCCTGTTGTGAGACAAATTGAGAAGTCTAAGAGTATAAAGGTTTCCTATGGAAATAGGAATTTCTCCATTGAACATGTTACTTGATAAGTCGATGCTAGTGTAAAGTTTTAGAATTCGTTCCACCAAGGCTTCAAATCCTTTCACAACTAGTGATGCAGAGCACTCATAGCCGTATGTGCAGTTGCCATTTGAGTAGTTTACCAGTAGATCAGAAGTAATATTACTTGTAATACCAGACAAATGCAACAAATAATATCCAGGAAAAGGTCCGGTGAAGTGATTGTTGGAGAGATCAAAAACCCGCAACATAGGGAATGGATGCCTAGTGGTAGGATTGCCTATCACTCCGTGAAAATGATTAGATCTTAAGACGAGCACTACCAAATGTGGAAGAGCATCTAGCCAGTGTGGGAATGAGTCATTTAGCCTATTGTTTCCAACATCTAGAACTTTGAGATGAGTACAGTTGATGAGGGTACGAGGTAAAGGCCCTTCAAATTCATTATGATCCAAGTTGAGTTCATAGAGAACATCACCAATTGCCACTTCTGTTGGAATGTTTCCATGAAAGTGATTCATGCTTAAATCAAGTAGTGACAATGTTGTGCTTAGATTTCCCAAACAAGGAGGAATAACACCGCTCAAAGAATTATCAGATAAGCCAAGGAATTTGAAAGGAGTTGAACTAGTACAAAACTCTCTATGCATAGGCCCATCAAAATTATTTTGGTCAAGAAGCAAGACTGAGAGTTGATTGCTAAAATTTCCCACACACTTTGGAATTACCCCACTCATGTAGTTACCTAACAAGGAAAGATTTTGAAGGTCACATGCATTGCACAGTGATTCTGGAATACCTCCATGAAACTGATTATTACCAAGATGCAGAATAATTAGACTTGTGTTTCCCAAGCATTTTGGAATAAGTCCATTCATTTTGTTGTGTGCTAGAGAGAGGTGTAAAAGAGATGTGACATTGCAAAAGATTGATAAGGTATCAGGTTCGTGAAGCAAGTTGAAATTTATCAAAACACCAGATAGTGATCTTAAATGTCCAACCTCTAATGGTATTGATCCACTAAGATAGTTATCTGAAAGCTCTAGCACAATAAGCTCCGACAAATTTCCAATTGTTGAAGGAATTAAACCAGAGAGGTGGTTTTTCCGAAGGTCAAGTTTAGACAACTTTTTTAGATCCCCAATGTTTGAGGGAATGCGACCTGAAAGTTGGTTATTTCTCAAGTAAAGATTATGAAGTTGTGTCAATAGACTAATTTCGAAGGGAATCCTTCCAGTGAGATTATTGCTACCTATAGACAAGGAAGTTAATTGTGTCCAGTTGGCAATGAGGTGTGGTACTAACTCACCTGAAAGTCTATTGGAAGATAAACATAACCCAACTAGTTTGGAAAGATTGGACATACTGGGAGGCAACTCGCCTGTTAGAAAGTTATGGCTTAGCTTCAAGTACTCAAGATTTGTGCATAGCCCAAGTTCAAAGGGAATCATAAAATTCAGTATATTTTTTCTAAGAGAAAGATACTGAAGATGTTTTAGGCTTCCTATGGAAGACGGAATCTTCCCCTGAAATGAATTTTTGGACAATTTCAGTACTTGAAGACTGGTGATTGAACCAATTTCTTCTGGAATTGTGCCAGAAAAGCTATTGTTTGAAAGACAAAGAAATTTAAGATTGGACAGGTTGGTAAGACTAATGGGAAAAGGTCCTTGGAATAAATTGTTACCAAGATTAAGATGCTCCAGTTTCTGTAGCTTGGAAAACACAGACACTGAAATTTGGCGTGTAAAATGATTTTTTGACAAATCAAGGTAAGACAGGTTTGGACAATTTGTTATCAAGTCTTTTGGAAAATCCAAAGTGAACTCATTAGCACGGAGGTTGAGATGCTTCAACAAAGGCATAGCATGGAATTTAGACCAATTGGGAGTTTCCAGATTATTCACTCCCAAATCCAGGTACCTCAAGTTTTGAAGATTGCTAATTTCAAATGGAATCACATCGTCCAGAAAGTTTTTGAAACAACTAAAGTACCTGAGCTGTGTCAACTGCCCAACCTCTACTGGTATTGCCCCCGTGAAGTTGTTATTGCTCAAGTCCAGAAAAGTGAGCTTAAGGAGGCTGCTGATAGCAGATGGTATCACTCCGCTCAAACTATTGTTATTGAGATTGATGCGAGTAAGATTAGGAAGTAAGGAAAAACGGAGTGGTTCAAGTGTACCTATGATCTTCCCATGAGGTAGATTGAGCTCTGAAACAGATCCACCCCGATTGCAGATGATTCCCTCCCAATTGCACAAATTTGTGAGGTTGTTGACAGACCAGGACGAATCCAGTAAAGAAGTAGAGGATGATGATAGGCCATTGTTTTTCCATTGCAAGAGAGCTTCAGCTTCTTCTTTGTTTGCATGTAAGGGTGCTGTGTTTATTGCAGCAAGCAAACAAAGGATATGAAAAAGAAGAGTGAAAATGGAAATTCTCATCATGGTTTAATTAATAGTAATTCAATAAAGTGATTGATGATGAGAAGTAATGCTTCTATGTGATCCTATATATAGCGGATTTAGAGCGAATGCCAATGTGGGAAAAAAAAAGGAAAAATAATTAATATTTGTGGATGAGGCGGATAGGAGGTAGGGTAGGTTAATATGAAGGTGAAAGGCTCTTTGGTCGTCTGATCTCCAAGTTTCTTTATTTTCATTTTCACTAATATCACTACTCCATCCTTTCGTCATGTTTGTTCTTTAAATTTGTCATACAATGTACAATCAGATAAAATACTCTCTTCTAATTGGTAATTTGGCAATTGATATAATTGGGATCATAATCAACACAAATGTGTGGACGGTTGGTACAAAAATTATTATTTAATTTTTGTACTAATGTTAATTGACATGTTATTTATGTTAGTTGATCATGAACCAAAGTAAATTATGGTTAAATGGGAACATGATGGGCCACAATGCTTTATGTGTACTTTGTATTCTCACAAAACAAAGTGCAAAACAGAAAGGGAACATGAGCTACAGTACGTGTATTGTGTATTCTCACAAATCAAAATGCAAAATAAATGGGAACATGCATGGGTGTATACGTGTGCTGTGCTTATAATTAATGCATGATTATAGGAAAATGGAGGTGTTGAAATTGTTTACATGCAATGCATGCTCAACTACTATACATTACGTGTTGACCACGAGAACGTATTGATCAAGGGAAAATAAAGCCTAGAATCAAGGCGTCCTATAATATAGAAAACAAGCTTGGTAAAGATTGAAAGCGTGGAGTTTAGGGGATTATGTATAACAATTTTTTTTAGAAAAAATTGAGGCCCTAAGCCTTTCGTCCTGACCGCACATGACCAGGACCGACCCTCTGCTGGTTTGTATCGTTGGTCTCTGTAGTAAAGACAGCAAAGCATGCATATGATCATGTCAAAGTATGAGAGTCTACAACATTATGGAAGGAAATGCAACGGCGGTTAAGTTTAGTGCAAAGCACGCAATCTGGGTGAATCGTTTGAAGAAGAAAAAACTGGCTCGCAAAGTGCTGAGATTGCATTCTTGCCGTCAAAATTCAAAATGCAGATAATGGCAATTAAGCAATCCACAAATCTTTCTAAACTCACTCTTGATGCCTTGATGGGAAATTTGCTGAAATACGAGATGGAGATAGATAAAAAAAAGAAAGTATTTTGAAGAAGAATAAGGGATTAGCAATAATGGAGATTCTCATTATGGTTTAATTAATAGTAATTCAAATAAAATGACTGATGAGAAGCAATGCTTCTATGTGATCCTATATATAGTATATATATCGAATTGAATTTACAGTGAATGATTATGTGAAAAAAAAATAATTAATTTCTGTAGATGTGAAAAAATTAATTAATTTATAGTGAATTGAATGATTTCGTCTAATCTCCAAAGTTTCTTTAATTTACATTCATGATTCATTTTTCATTAAAGGAGTAATGTTGTGCACCAGGGCGCGCATTGCATTGTGCGCCCGGGTGTAAAATGACGTCGTTTTGGATTTTATTTTTCTTTTAAAAATCCGTTTTCTTGTGTCGCTTGTTAATTTTCTTTTAAAAAAATCTCATGTTTCGAAAATATATATAATTGTACACTTAGAATGTATATAATTATATAAAAAAAATGTACATAATTGTATAACAAAATACACATACTTTTTTTTTTTTGAAAAGATAATACATATAATCTAACATAATACATAATTCACATAAACTTTTAACATAATACACATAAATTCCATGTTTAATTCGGATGTAATAATTGTATAAAAAAATGTACACAATTGTATAAAAAATGCACATAATTATATACCATAATTTACATAATCGCGTCAACTCCCTACATAACTTATCAAAACGACGTCATTTTGGTAGGCTGCGGGGCGCATATAACGATTGCTTCATTAAGTTTGTTCTTTAAGATTTTGTTAAGTCTTAAGAAAAAATGCTCTTCTAACCATGTATTTTAAAATACGGAGATCACCTTCGAACCATCATAGTCGACTGCCCAAGTGAAGATCTCCTCAAAATTTTGGAAGATGACAAATTTGGTGTGCCGGTATGGCGTCAAATAGGTTTGTAAATTTGATATTTGGGTTTACCCTTCCATTCTGATCGGAAAATTATGATTGTAATTCATGTATTTATTTATTATTCTTCAACTATTTTTATCATAAACAACTTTAATTATTTTTGATAATTATAGATTCATTATAATATTATAAATAAACAGTTAGTCGTGCATCGCATGGGACAATACTAGTTAAAATATGACAACTAACAGACAATAGAGTAATTAGAAGACATAATTATACAAATAAAAAGTAGTACTCCATAAAGGTTCCCATTCCATGATGAATCTGCGGTAGAAGCAATTCAGAAGTTTGGCCGGCTGGGAACTTGTGGGTAGCGTTATGTTGTGCAACCGTGTGCATCATGTATGGTGCACACGGTTGCAAAAACGACGTCGTTTTGATGTTTGACTTTAAAAAAAAAATAAAAAATTTAGAATTTCATAACTACACATCCATAACTTCATAACTATAAATCCATAATTGCATAACTACACATTCATAACTTCATAACTATAAATCCAGAATTGCATAACTACACATTCATAACTTCATAACTATAAATCCAGAATTGCATAACTACACATCCATAATTTCATAACTATACATCCAGAATTCCATAACTACACCAACTTTATAACTATAAATTTAGAATTGTATAACTACACATTCATAACTTCATAACTATAAATCCAGAATTGCATAACTACACATCCATAACTTCATAACTATACATCCAGAATTGCATAAGTACACATCCATAACTTCATAACTATAAATCCAGAATTGCATAACTAAACATCCATAACTTCATAACTATACATTCAGAATTGCATGCATAATTACACATCCATAACTTCATAACTATAAATCCAAAATTGCATAACTACACATCCATAATTTCATAACTATAAATCGAGAATCTGAAATTATAAAATTATGAACATATGTTTACGTAACTAACGACAATCGAAAATGATTTTTAAAAAAAAAAAAAAAAAAAATTAAACAACGCTGTTTTTGCATCCGTATGCACCATGCACAGCATAATTTGCCAACTTGTGTGGACGCTGCCCTTTTAATCTGCCTGCCAGCAATCACAAGCTAAGACCTATGAAATGCAACAACGTAACGTTCTTCTATATGCAATAGATCAAAAATGTCACTTAAGAAATAGGAATTTTATATTTGGAGTTCGTAAAACAAAAAGCAGTACGTCGTTTTAATTTAATTACCTTTGCAAATTTAATTTAATTTAATTTGTTCTTCTTCTGCCATGTCTTCTTGAACCAGTAGTTTTGGAACCCTTTCCTCTCTTCCATATGAGTTTCCTTAGCAACCAGTTGAGTTTTTCATATCGCAAAGCAAAATATCCCACACAGACTCCAAATGAAAATGAACAGCAGTATCCTATCGTCACGCTTTGCCAAGAAAATCCATTAAAAAACCCGAATCCTCTTCTTCTTCTTGTGACGGCACATGTGTTTTTCTGCTAGCTTCACATTCCACAGTCAATGGAAAGCCACACAGTGCTGTGTTTCCCAGGTAGGAGTCATTGCCAATTGTATCAAGTTGCCCGCTGCGGGGTATTGCTTCCAATAAATGATTATAGGAGAGGTTCAGTACTTCCAGAAATCCAAGCTTTGACAGTTGCCATGGTTTCCCCTATGAGTTGGTTGCAAGACACGTCTAGCGCTTCAAGCAATGTTAGATTTCCCAATGATGATGGTATATGGCCAGTTAGCCTATTATGAGACAGATTGAGATGCCGAAGAACACCAAGAATTCCAATGGAAATAGGAATATCTCCATCAAACATGTTACTTGATAAGTCTATGACTGTGTACAGGTTTAGCTAGAATTTCTTCCACGGAATGGTCAGACCCTTTCACCACTAGCATTACAGAGCTTCCATAAACGTAAACAAAATGGTCACTAGAGTATGTTACATCTAAATCAGGAGTAATATCATTTATAATCCCAGTAAAATGCAGCAAATAATTTTCAGGCAAATGTCCAGTGAAGTGATTGTTGGAAAGATCAAGAACACGCAGCATAGGGAATGGAATCTTGGTGGTAGGATTGCCTATCACCCCATGAAAATGATTACAACTTAAGATGAGCACTGCCAATTGTGGAAGAGCATCTAACCAGTGTGGGAATGAGTCATTTAGACCATTGTTTCCAACATCAAGAACTTGGAGAGCTGTACAGTTGAGCAGAGTACGAGGTAATGGTCCTTCAAATTCATTATAATGCAAGATGAGAATTTGCAGAACATCACCCTTTAAAGCTTCTTCTGGAATGTTTCCATAAAATTGGTTCATGCTTAAATCAAGTAGTGACAATGTTGTGCTTAGATTTCCCAAACACGAAGGAATAACACCACTCAAACTATTATGAGATAGGTCAACAAATTTGAAAGCGGATGAACTGCAAAACTCTCTATGCAAAGCACCATGCAAATTATTATTGTCAAGACGCAAGATTGAGAGTTGATTGCTAAAATTTTCCAGGCACGTTGGAATGACACCACTCAAGTAATTTTTTGACAGGTCAAGAAAATGAAGGTGGCATGGATTGCAGAGTGATTTTGGAATACCCCCGTGAAACTGATTGCCTTGAGAAAAAAGAAATTTGAGATTTGTAATGTTTCCCAAGCATTGTGGAATATGTCCATTCAATTTGTTATCAGCTATGAAAAGGAGTGAAAGAGATGTGACATTGCAAAAGATTGATATGGTCTCAGGTCCGTGAAGCAAGTTGGAACTTATGGAAACAAGAGATAGTGATGTTAAATATCCTACTTCCCAAGGTATTGGCCCCCTAAGATAGTTTTCTGAAAGATCTAGCCCATTGAGCTCTGTTATATTTCCAATTGTTGAAGGAATTACACCAGAGAGGTGGTTTGTCGAAAGGAGGAGTTGAGACAACTTTTTCAAATTCCCAATGTTTGAGGGAATGCAACCTGAAAGCTGGTTACTACTAAGGGAAAGATATTGAAGTTGTGTCAATAAACTAATTTCAGAGGGAATCCTTCCAGTGAGCTTATTGCTATCTATAAACAAGAGAGTTAATTGTGTCCAGTTGGCAATGAGGTGTGGTACTAACTGACCTGAAAGCATATTGAGACGTAAACCTAACCCAACTAGTTTGGAAAGATTGGACATGCTGGGAGGCAACTCGCCGGTTAGAAAGTTATGGTCTAGATACAAGTACTCAAGATTTGTGCATAGCCCAAGTTCAAAGGGAATCATAGAATTCAGTTGATTTTTTCTGAGAGAAAGATACTGAAGATGTTTTAGGCTTCCAATGGAAGGTGGAATATTCCCAAGAAATGAATTATTGGCCAATTTCAGTGCTTGAAGACTGGTGATTGAACCAATTTCTTTTGGAATTACTCCAGAAAAGTTGTTGTATGAAAGGCAAAGAAATTTAAGGTTGGATAAGTAGGTAAGACTAATGGGAAAAGGTCCTTGGAAGAAATTGTTACCAAGGTCAAGGTGCTCTAGGTTCTCTAGCTTGGAAAACACAAACACTGGAATTTGACCGGTAAAATGGTTTTTTGACAAATCAAGGTAAGATAAATTTGGGCAATTTGTTATCAAGTCTTTTGGAAAATTCAAATTGAACTCATTAGCACGGAGGTTGAGATGCTTCAACAAAGGCATAGCATGGAATTTAGACCAATACGGAGTTTTCATATTATTCACTCCCAGATCCAGGTACCTCAGGTTTTGAAGATTGCTAATTTCAAATGGAATCACTTCCAGCAGAAAGTTTCTGAAACAACTAAAGTACCTGAGCTCTGTCAACTGCCCAATCTCTACTGGTATTAGACTCTTAAGTCTTAACTGGAACAAAAAAATATAGATAGTATTATTTTTAAATGGTTCATATTATTTTGATTTTAGTATTTTTTTAAATGATTTTCTTTATTTACCTTCTATTATATTATTTTCTTCAATTCCTTAAATAACCTAAATTCCGTTAGTATAAACTTTAGTAACTGAATATTCCGCAAACTATTTATTATTTTTAACTTACTCATTAAATTGTATAAGAAATGTATTAGTTTCGAACCACATCCCAATTAGAGTTGGCATAATTGGTAAACACACACTACAAATATGTTAAAATATATTTAAAAATATATATAATGTAAAATTTAATATAAAGTTTGTTCAAATAATTAGTCCGGCTAAATACATAGCATTCAAAGTTAAACATCAAAGATTATAAATCAAGAACTTTAAAAATCATTTGGTTTTTATCCATTTAAAAAAAAAAAACAAATTTAGGTTAAGTTTTTTTTTTTTCGTTTAATTAATCTTCTTTAATTTTGATTATTTAGATCAAAACAAAATTTAATATTTCAATTATATTTTTGCATTATTGGTATGATTTAGGTCGTTATGTTATTAATATTTTTTGTATGTATTTTTATAATGGTACAATTGTACATTACTTTACAAATATTATACTATTATTTTTTTATCGGACAAAATTGTTCTTACATCATTGTCAGGCCTGCGCAACCTAACTACAAAGTTGTTGATCATAAATACAATTACACTTAGACTCAAAAACGGTAAGACCATTTTCTAACGAATTGACAATGTTGACATCCCACTAGCTCCAATTGAACAAGTTTACACATCAGAATTTTATCAATGCATGAAAACTTCTAAAAAAATTTGTAAGTTAATTTTTACTATATCATTATAACAATATCTATTGTAACTATATATTTTGAATTATTTGTTATCATCCTCTATTGACAGGGACTGTAACGATTGTCATTGGCAAACTCTCAAAACAATTTGTCTCAACAACGAATGTAAATTAAAAACAAAAAAAAAAACAAAAAATCAATAATTTCATTATTGTTGATGAAAAGTATGTAGCCACTTTACTACTCTTATTAAATTAAATAAAGAAGTAGCTACAATAAAAAATAATACATATGCATTTAATTAATTTAGAATTAGATGTCTATAATGCATTTATTTAAAAAAAAATTATTCATTATAAAAAATTTTAAAAGAGATATAATTTCATTAGTTATATTATCTTTATTTTCTACAATTCAAAGATTCATTACTTTCAAATTTATTAATTTATTATATTCACTACATTATCCATTGTCTTCTTAGCTTTTTACATTATCTTGTAATTAAATATCAAAGTTATAATACAAAATGTGTTATATATATATTTATTTACCAAGTATTTTATACAAATATAATAAATATTAATATTTTGTTCAATACTTTCACATGATAACCTACGACTCACATCTTACAACGCATGAAACATGTAGGAGAAAAATTATCACTACCAAATATCAATAGGTGCTTGTAAAATAAAGAGTTAATCGTATAACTAAGATCTCATCATATACCCAACAAGGTAAATCTAAAGCTTCTTACACCATAATCTCATTGCACGATGAATCCATCTATGCTACACCAATAACCCAATTGCACATGACACACTACCAATATTAAAAAAAAAAAAAAAAAAAAAAAAAAAAAAAAAAAAAAAAAGATGACATGTACTGAAGAGGAAGACAATGACAATACTACCCAAAAGAGAATTAAGAAGAATTAGAGAAATTTAAACCAAAAGTTGTATTTATTTATACTATCGTTTTTAGACTAAGTATTTAGACTAACGTTATTACAAAGTTGCAAACATTTATTTTATTAGTGACAATAAAATCAATCTCTCTTATATTATCTTGCATTTATATACTTTAATTAAACAAATTCAGGGTGTGTTTGGTTGATGAGTTTTGCCCATAGGAATGAGTATGAAAGTGATTGTTATTGTTTGGTTAATAGGTTTTTAGAACACTACTATAGGTTTTGAATACCTCATCAATTGAAAAATCCATACCCAAATAAAATAAGGGTTTCATTCTCTTATTAATTCTCAAGCACTACTATTAGTAACTATTCTCATTACACCCTATTACAAAACATGTTAAATACTTTCACCAAAACCATTACCAAGTATTTGATACCCATTCCGATTCCGATTCCTATGTGCGAACCAAACACACCCTCAATATTTATTTACCTATGCATGATGTCTGATATAATATTGCATTAATATACTTTGAAATACTTATTAAAAAATAATCATTGGACATTATTTCATTCGTGCAAAGCGCGTAAAATAACTAGTCATAATGAAATTGATGGAATAGGCACACTAGAAAAATTAGACACTGATGAAAATGAATTATTGAAAGCAATAAAGGTCTTTGGAGATATATATATGTGTGGACTAAGAAATTTCATACTTTTAACAATTATTAATCCGTATCATTTTTTTTTTCAATATATTTTTACAATATACATAGGATCAACTTTTCAATACTTTATCTTTTTTTTTTTTTTGAAAAATCAATGTGGTTGCATTTATATATGAATCGAAATAGAGTCAGGCGGGATCCCATCCCAGTACATAGGTGTAGAATAAATAAAGGCATCTGATGCTAAGTCGTGTGCCATAACGTTCTGTGATCTAGGAATAAATATAACTGAAACGAAATTAAAAGTAGCTATAAGGCGTCTGCACTCATCAAGGACATAGCCAAGATAAGATCGAGGTTGGATTGAAGACTCGAGGTTGGTTCGCAACGTCTGACAGTCCGTATAGATTTGAACCACTTGTTCACCACGTTGTTTGAGCCACGATAACGCTTCCTTACATGCTAGGGTCTCGGCCATAAGAGGTGAGAAACAAGCTTGTGGTGGCACACAGTAAGCCGAAACATATCTTCCAATATGGTCTAGTAATAGGATGCCGGCTGTGGCTATCTTCATATCTGCATTGTATCCCGCGTCTACGTAACATTGCTTCGGGTATGCGGAGTGTTCCTGGCGTGTGGGCGAATGTGGCAGTGTGACTGTCGAGCCAATCGCAGATGGCGAACTGGGCAGTGGGGCGGCAAAGGTCACGGCCGGCAATGCAGCAGGCTGTTGGCTTGTGCGGTGGGCGGTGACATCGCGTACCGCTAGCCATGGTTCGAGTTGATAACACAACTCTTCTCGGCAGGTGTAGGCATGCATCCCATACCGCTCCGTTCCGGGCTCTCCAAATATTGTATAGAATTCCAGCTGCAAATAACATTTCATTAGAGTCTAGAACATTCAAGATTGTCCTAAACCATTCATGAAAAATATTTGTGGTAACATGGGGTAATGGAAGGCCAGATTGGGTCCAAATGGACTTCGCATAATCACACAAGACTAATGAGTGCATAACATCTTCATTTATCAATCCACACATGGCACATATCGGATCAACATCCACTCTCTTTATAAGCAAGTTGTTGGTTGTAGGAAGGATATTACTTATAGCTCTCCATAAAAACATTCTCCATTTGGGTGGTATTCGTAGCTTCCATATAGTGTCCCATTTATCGAAGCCCGAGCTACTCTCATAAATACCTACTACGTGCCTGTATCCATTTTTGACCGAGTAGCATCCATTGGGGTCATCATACCAATACCATGTATCATCATATTCCGGGGAGATAGGTATTTTCAATATTCTTGGCACATCACTTGGGTCAAAAATATCAGATAAAATGTGTGGGTCCCATGTACCGGTCGTCTGATCAATTAAACCAGAAACCTTTGCATCTATCAATTGTGGCGGCATCTCCGTTTGGATCATAGGATCCATTTCATCCTGTAACCAAGGATCCTTCCATATTAGCGTTGAGTTACCATTTCCAACACGGCGTCTCACCCCACCAATTATTAGGTCTTTGGCTGCCATAATACTCCTCCAACAATAGCTAGGATTATTCCCTAGACATGCTTCATTAAATGGGCGGTCATGAAAATACCTAGCTTTATAAATGCGGGCCACCAAAGACTCAGGATTGGTAAGAAACTTCCATGCTTGTTTTCCTAGCATAGCCAAATTAAATGCTCTTAAATCCTTAAACCCCAGACCTCCATATTTCTTTGGGATGCACAGTTTATCCCAAGATTTCCAATGAATACCACGGTCCGTCCCAGAGCCCCACCAGTATCGGTTCATTGTGTGTTCAATAGCAGAGCAAACAGATATCGGCAACAAAAATACACTCATTGAAAAGGTAGGCATTGCCTGGGCTACACTTTTCAATAAAATTTCCTTCCCAGCTTGCGTTAGGAGCTTCTTATTCCATGAGCCAATTCTCTGTTTGATTTTATCTTCAATATAAGCAAATGCCATTTTCTTATTTTTCCCCACAAATGCCGGTAACCCCAAATACTTTCCAAAATTCGGAGCCTGAACCACCCCAAGGGTCTGTGCCACTATATCCCTATCAGCCCCACTAGTATTCTTACTATAGCAAATACTAGATTTCTGATAGTTGACCATTTGCCCAGATAAGCTCTCATAAGTAGTCAAAATATTCTTAATCTCAGAAGCTTCCTGCACATTTGCCTTAAAAAATAGTAAACTGTCATCAGCAAAAAACAAATGGGAGACCGGGGGCGCAGCTCGTGCCACTCTACATCCATGAATTACACCATTAGCCTGTGCCTGCTGTAATAATAGAGAAAGGCCTTCTGCACAAATGATAAACAGATACGGGGATAAAGGATCTCCCTGTCTGAGACCACGAGTGGGCAATATTGCCTCCGTAGGCGATCCATTTACCAGAAACCTGTAGGAGACTGTGGTAACACACAACATGATCAAATCCACCCACCTTTCATCAAATCCTAAGGCTTTAAGCATCCCTTTCAAAAAAGGCCATTCCATACGATCGTATGCCTTAGCCATATCCAGTTTAAGAGCTCCCCATCCACCAATACCACATTGTTTTCTATTCAAAAAATGTCCCACCTCAGCTTCTATTAAAATATTATCAGTAATTAGCCGATTAGGGATAAAAGCACTCTGTGTGTCTGAGATAACACCTTCCATCAGGGGTTTCATTCTCTGCGTAATCATCTTGGCCATCACTCTGTAAACAACATTACTTAGGGCTATTGGGCGTAGATCCGAAATTAACTCTGGGCATCTTTTTTTGGGATTAACACAACATTCGTTTCATTCAATGCAGAGGGGATAGTACGCATATTCAAGCAATCAACAATATAATTTGCCATGTCACCTCCCACAATATCCCAGAAGTGTTGATAGAAACCTGGATTCATTCCATCCGGAGCCGGTGCTTTATCTGGGAACATTGCAAATAATGCAGCCCTAACCTCATCAACCACAAATGGTCGAAGCAGTGCTTCGTTCTGTTCATGCGTGATCTTTGGTACTACCTTCTCGAATAAATTATGGCCAGGCACAGGATTACTAGAACTAAACACATTGGCAAAATAATCCATAACCACATCTTTCATATCATTTCCTTCAACCCAATCCCCGGAATTATTCATAATACGAGATATTGAATTTTTCTTTTTTCGGTGAGAGGCATACCTGTGATAGAATTTAGTATTGGCATCCGCATTCTTGAGCCAATGCTGTTTCGCTCGTTGTTTCCAATATGCATCCTCCTGGGCCTCCATATTACTCAATTCCACCTCCACGCGCTGGAATTCAGTTAATGAGTCTGTATCCATTCGTCCCCTGAGCCGCAACTGTTCTCTCCGGAGATTTTTAATCCGCTCACCAAACTTATGATACCGGTCTCCGCCCCATTTAGCCAAACGACTACCACAATGTGCAATACAATCATGTAAATCATTCCCTCTTCTCTCATTCCACGACTCCTCCACCACACGCCTGCACCCCTCATCATACAACCATGCCATCTCAAACCTGAATTGTCGTCTGTGTGTCCCCCCTCTTCCCATCGGGTCATGAATACCTAGGAAGATAGCGGAATGATCTGACTGTCTCATCAATAGATTTGTGACATTTGCTCCTGGGACTACATCACTCCACACATTCGTAGCCAACACTTTATCCAGTTTCTCCTCTATCCATCTTGCCGTGCCCTTACCCTTCTCCCATGTAAATTGATATCCACTCATCGGCAACTGAGCTAATCCACAATAGTCCAAGACCTCTCCAAACCCACGCAGAAGATAATTCGGATGTGGATTACCCCCCTCTTCTCGTACTGAAATAGAAACTCATTAAAGTCTCCAATCATAACCCATGGTAGATTAGATTGCGACTTTAAGGATTTAATGAGATTCCATGCCTCCCTGCGCCTATTTCTCTCTGGATAGCCATAGTAACAAGTCATTCGCCAGCGTGGAAACACAACCATACTGATTTCCATATCAACATAATTCTTTGAGTAAGTTATCAGTCTTGCTGTGCTATTTCTCCGCCATAATAATGCTATGCCACCACTTAGTCCACGTTCACCCCCCGGCTCAACATAAAACAACCCCTCAAACCCTAGCTTAATTCGAACACGTTCCGCATGATCCCTCCGTACTTTAGTTTCCATCAAAAATACAAAATCAGGCTTCCTCCGGGACACTACGTCCTCCAGTTGACGAACTGTCTGTGGATTGCCCAAACCACGACAGTTCCAGCTTAGTGTACTCATTGGGTCGGGCGGGCCTGGGAACCAAGACCCGCCATCTGCAAGTTTTTTGACACATTGTCATGCACCACCTCCTCACTCACTGGTACAGTAGCCCCGGTGAGATCATCATTTACCGTACCAGCCCGGCGTCTTTTAGACGAAGCCACCACATCCTCATCTACCTCATCCCCACTCACCACCATATGCACATCCCAATACTTAATCTAAATATATATTAACATTGTTATCTCTGATCTTTACATATGTTTTTATATGAAATTGGTATGAACTTAAAATAGCTTTCTTATCCCCGGCCTGGTCTGGCCAATTCAAAACGGCAAATTATGTTGTGCATCCGTATGCACCATGCATAGTACATACGGATGCAAAAACGACGTTGTTTTATTAAAAATACGTGTCCCACTTTAAAAAAATATTCAGAATCAATGAACTAAAAATTCAGAATCTATGAACTAAAAACACAGAATGAATGAACTAAAATTAAAGAATAAATGAACTAAATATCCATAATGAATGAACTAAATAACCAGCATGATTGAAAAAAAAAAATCAGTTTCGATTTACGTCTAAATATCCAGAATCAATGAATTAACTAAAAATCCAGAATCAATGAACGAATTAAAAATTCAGAATCAATGAACTAAAAATCCAGAATGAATGAACAACATAATGCTGTTGAGGGGAATCGAAACTGAAATTTTATTTTTTTAAGTGGGACGCGCGTTTGTAGTCAAAACGACGTCGTTTTTACATCCGTATGCACCATATGCATGGTGTACACGGATGCACAGCATAACGATCCATTCAAAACACGGATGCAAATGTGATCGTTTAGATTATTATTATTTTTTTTTTTGAAGAACAAATGGAAATAAAAAAAAAAGTAAAATAATCATTGAAGAGCGCAACCTATATATAACTAATAAAAGGTAATAGTCTCCCAATAAAGTATAGGTTGACATGTTTTTGGATTAGGTGTAGGAACCGTTGGTAGAAAAACAAATAATAATCAAATAAAAATTGACTATTATTTTCTGGAAAGAAGGGAAGAAAAGATGAACAAAATTGGCTAGTGTTTGGTGTTGGGTTTTTGCAAGAGTCGAGTGAGCACTCTTTCCTTAAAACCTTATTTGCCACCTCCCGTAGATGCTAGGAGCGTTGTGGCCTAGACTTCCCAGGATAAAACTTGTTAGTGATTCAATGTTTGAGCACTCAAACAAGGAATCCGGCGAGCAAGACAAGCTATGAACACAGTAGGCAAAGAAAAGGAGTAGAAGCAGAATTTTGAGGCTGGAAAACAATGTTTCGTGTGCAATTTTTCTGTGTGTAAAATCCTATTGCCTCTACCCTCTCTTATATAGGGTTGAAGGAGCCAATAGCCTTTATTATGGCAATTAAAAATGACATTAAAGCTGCCTTCCAACAGCTATAACAGCAGGCCACTACCTGGGAATTGAATTCAGAATTCAAAAATTGGAATTAATAGACAATTAATTCCGTAACAGATGAATTCAATCCCCTCAACAGTCAGAACTTTCGGGTTCCAGACCGTTAGCGTACAGGGTTCGGTCACAACTTTCGACCTCATCCAGTTTCGACCCTTGCACCTTTCGTGGACTTTGTTGCACGAGAGTTGTGCTCTCGGTGCACCACAACCTCTCGTGCTCTCTTGTAGCACGAGAGTAGGTGCTCTCGGTTCGGTTCTGCCCGAACCAAGTGGCTATACCAGTTGGAAAATGATACCGAAGTTTGGCATAACTTAGCCCGCAAGGTCAGCCAATTTTCGGACGACATTCGTGCCCCCAGGTGCCGGCGCACACGAGCTCGGGCTTGAATCAAGCATTTTTCAATCTCTGCTAGTTGGAATTTGATTTGCACCCACCCTACCCCCCCCCTCCCGCGCGCGCGCGAGAGAGCCTCTATGCTATACAATTCTACAAGCTTCAAAAGAGCTCTTGTATATAAAGGGGGAAAATCTTCATTCCAAAGCAATGTGGGACAAAAGCAAGCTCACTTTTTCCCTTCATTTTCCAACTCAAATGGGTCTACTTTGAGAATCAATATCTCATTCACCCATTATCCGTTTTGAGCGTACAATATATCGATCTCTTCGTCTCACTACGAAGAATCCGAATCCACTTTGACCCGACCCAAATCGGAAGTGGACCCCACTGATAATTGTACCACAAAATAGCCACTTAACATGCCATTTTATGCCATTTTAAGCTATTTTTTCCAACAATCCCCACATGAATGAAAAATTGATTTTCGGGGTATTTTGAAATCGGAAACAACTGTGTTCAAACGGTCGATCCCTGCATAGGATAGGTAGGGAGTCACTATACCCTTTGAACCTTCCCTCGTGAAGACATGTTTACTCTACTGGCTGTACGGTAGAACGCGATGTCTTTGAACCGACTGTCGTTTGTGTAGACGATGACATATCTCACACAGAAATCTCCCAACCATGCTCTTGCTCTCATGAGTGTGCCCATTTTCGTCGTGGGTCACCATTCCTGGTTCTGCGAGAGTTTCTAAAGAATTGTGCCCAACAATTCTCCTTTGAAGCGACCCTCACTTCTCTCTAACATAGGTGATTCTTTCTCGAGTATCCCGCATACTCAAGAATCATTAAAGCATTAATATGCTAGCCTCTTGCGGGAGTCACTGTTTTAACGAGGAGTGGTAGGGAGTCCGAGACCCCACAGTGACGCGCTCCGTTCCATAATTTAGTTGTCCCATTGAACCTAGGTGCCAGCTAGGTTGGGTATCCACTATAGAACTTTTTAGTCCAAGGGCATTAGACCCATTCCTCGTGTCAACTTCTCCATAACTTCTCTTCCTAACCCTTTGGTTAGCGGATCCGCTATATTGTCTTTTGACTTTACGTAGTCAATCGAGACAACACCAGTTGTGAGCAGTTGTCTAATGGTATTATGTCTCCGAAGCACGTGTCTAGACTTACCATTATACATATGACTCTGTACTCTCCCAATTGTGGCTTGACTATCGCAATGCACACATATTGGAGGTACCGGTCTTTCCCAATTAGGAATATCCTCTATAAAATGGCGTAGCCATTCAGCCTCTTCACAACCTTTGTCCAAGGCTATCAGCTCAGATTCCATCGTGGATCTAGCTATCACTGTTTGCTTAGAGGATTTCCATGCAACGGCTGCACCGGCTAGTGTAAACACATAGCCACTCGTGGACTTAGAGTCCTTAATATCAGATATCCAATTCGCGTCGCTATACCCTTCAAGTACAGCGGGATATCTCCCTTAGTGCAGTCCAAGATCATGAGTATACCTCAAGTATCTCATTACCTTTACTATTGCCTTCCAGTGCATAGCACCGGGGTTACTCGTATATTTACTGAGTTTACTAACCGCATAGGCAATATCCGGCCTAGTACAGCTCATAAGATACATCAAGCTAC